ATGGGACCCCAACATGCTAGCTCACTAACAGTCAACCAAATCAAACTATGCCCCTGCAGCCCTGCCCTCCTTATGAAAAGCCAACCCATCAAAGAACACGATCACATCGCCCAAAAACCAACCCTCAAGCTCAACACTCCCTCTGATTTTTTGCCCCAGAGCTAGACCACCAGTGGAAAGATGGAGCTGAGCATTAGGCAGCGCTCCACCACCAGCCTAGCGTTAGAAAAAGTTGTTGTCGCTGTAAGAGCAGAGAGGGTCATCTCCAAAACCGGCTTAGCATGGGCTCTGACTCACGTTGTTCGTCCTGGCCATTGCGTGACCTTGCTCGCTCTCTTTCCTGGTGAAAAGAAAGGTAATCCTGTCTTCTTTCTTCCCTTATATCGAAATTCAGATTCTTGTTATATTAGCCGTTTCCTTTGCTTCGAGAAGTTCATGCATTGACTTTCTTCTTCTAGTTTATCTTAAAAAAGGTAGAAGATTTTGGAATTTTCCGATGTTGGCTGGAGATTGCGGGAGCAGTATCCAGGAGGAGTTACCGGAACAGATTTGTCAGATCTCCGAGTCATGTTCACAGATGGTACTTCAGTTCCATAACCAAATCGAGGTAATCAAATGTCAAAGTTACTGAATTGCCCACGTTGGATTCGTTTCCTTCTTGTGGCGGCATAGTGGACTCCTTGGTCCATTTGTCAAATACGTGTTACGGACCTTTGCAAAAAGCGAAGTGACGTGCCTTTGCATTGCCTAGAAACAGCATAAACATGTAAATGGATCTACAAACTGATTGAGATGTGGGGGTTTAGAAGATTCCTGGAGTCCAAACAGGGGCTTAGGCACTACCGTCAGATGGAAACAAAAAAAGTTAATGATTAGTGGGCTTTGTTTGGACTTTGGAGGTTGAATGGCATGTGGCATGTGCAAATGAAGTAGTATACTCTGCTTTAGGTGCATTATTGCCAATCAACATTATTAAAGTTGTTTTTCCATGGAACCCCACCTCATCTCTTTATTTGGGATTCGGGATTATGTTAATCTTTCATAATTCTGATTTTCATGGATGGTAGCTAAAATGTCATAATAATTCTACAAAATTGCGATGATCACATATATGCTCTTCTACACAATATTGACAAGGATGCAGAAGAGAGGTGGGGGGGGGGGGGGGGGGGGGGGTTGGGTTGACTGCCGATCATACCTCTGTTCTGGAAGGAACTTGTCAGTTTAAATATGGTTAATAATGATTAATGAGTTCTTAATTTGCAGGTTACTGTGAGGATTAAGGTGGTGTCAGGAACAACTGGCAGTGCAGTGGCGGCTGAAGCCAAGAACAATGGAGCCAACTGGGTCATACTGGACAAGTAATTAACATACAAAAAAAGTATTATTTCTTGTTTCTAAGCTATTAGTTAAGCTGGTTGGTCTTAATTGTCGTTTACCCCCATAAATAAGCATGCTTTAATACTATTTCATTAATCCCTGGCAACTTGTCTTATTTGTTAATTTTAGTGGTCAAAGATTGACGTCGGATGCCTGTGGAACATGCTCATATGCAACAGTTCTGAGATTATTTGTGTTTATCGTAGTAAATTTTAAGTACTTATCACTAATAAATACAAATATTACATGTTACAGTTCTTAATTCTGTCTGGTAAAAGATCAATCTGATTGGTAACAAGACTTGTACTAATGTCTGTAAAATCTCAGCAAAACAATTTGGCATGACAGAAATTCATATTATCTTATATTTGAAGTTATTTTTTGTGTTAAACTTACGAAAGAGTTGTTTTTACTGAATCAGAAAACTAAAGCAGGAGCTGAAACATTGCCTAGATGAACTTCACTGCAACATTGTAGTGATGAAAGGTTCACAAGCAAAAGTTCTCAGGCTTAATTTACAATGCATAAATGAACTTCAAACTCCCTATTACTCTGCTGCTGCTTCACCGGTTGTGGATGGTGGAGAGTTCCTAGGACACCGGATGAAGCATTCTACTCCAGTCGGCAGCCCAGAAGAGCCAGGTACTTCTTATTCAAGAACAAGCCAAGAGCGGTTGCTACCAAGTTCTGATTCAGCAACATCTCTTTTCCTGGTATATCAACAAAATCCTCTTTTTGAAGGGCTGAACAGAGGAAATTACACTTCCTTAGATGATGAGAACAACTTGGATAACCAACTTACAGTTCTCAATTCATATGGAGAAAAGCTTATAAATCTATCAGCAAACTCAGCATCTTCTGTAAAAGTTAATGACAAGAGTATATTTTGGATTCCCCAAAATCACATTGATGAAAAGCCTCATAAAACCCAAAGCAATAGAACTAAAATCATATCCCCTTCTTCCAAAACCCTGCTTGACAAGTTTGTCCAATATGATGAAGATACAAAGCCAGGTAGGCTTGCCCACCAAAGCCAACGAAAAGACTACATGGTTAGCTCAAGCATTAGGGATGCAGTTGCTTTAGGTCGAACATCCTCAGTACCTCCTCCCTTGTGCTCATTATGTCAACACCAGGCACCAGTCTTTGGCAAACCACCAAGACGGTTTTCTTATGAGGAGCTGGAGGAAGCTACAGATGGATTTTCAGAATTGAATTTCTTGGCAGAAGGTGGTTTTGGTGTTGTTTACAGGGGGGTTTTGAGAGATGGTCAGGTGGTTGCAGTGAAGCTGTTAAAGTTTGTTGGCTGTCAAGCAGATACTGATTTCTGCAGGGAGGTACAAGTTTTGAGCTGTGCACAACATAGGAATGTTGTGTTGCTAATTGGTTTTTGTATTGATGGCAACAAGAGAGTCTTGGTTTATGAATACATTTGCAATGGATCCTTGGATTTCCGTTTACATGGTATTCATTTTCTCATTTTTATTTCTTTCAATATCATATTGTTTATAAGCTCCTGTATGTTCTTTTGGTTTCCATATGCTCCTTTTTTCTATTTGCATTGAGAACCTTTGTCCTCTAAATTATATTGGTTACATCTGGTTGACAGGGAGCAACAAAACCTCTCTGGACTGGCAATCACGGCTGAGAATAGCAGTTGGGGCAGCACGAGGCTTGCGATACCTTCATGAAGATTGCAGAGTTGGTTGTATAGTACACAGAGATATGCGGCCCAAAAATATTCTCCTGACTCATGATTTTGAGCCTCAGGTACCTTCATTTAGCTTTTGGACCTTTCACAAAGTGTTAATGTGTGTTCTTCTTCACGTTGACACAAACTTGAATTCATCATAAAGAGAAGTACAACACACCAATCTCTTCAAGTGATAAATTCTCATTTTCCATCCCTGTTGCAGTGTTGCTCAAGTGGCTATATAACTGCCATGAAAGAATTAGATATGCTTTGAAGAAATATCATGCCCTAACTTTTTAGTTGTCTCTTCAGGTTACTGATTTTGGACTCGCTAGATGGCATTCTGATCAATGGATTGTTGGAAGCGAGGAGCGACCCATTGGAACTTCAGGGTACTTCCTAAATATCCTTATTTGCCTGTGTTTTACGGCTCATTCATCTTTTTTTTTTCTTTGTGAAATGTCTCATTCTACCATTTATTAAGGTAACCCTGTTTACAGTTGTGCTTTGTTATAATCTCTGGTCTGAATTCTTTAAGACCTAACATCAGTATTCTGTAGTCACCTGCACTCACATAAAACAGTAAATACGTATCAAACTTTTGAAAATGTTTATCATTCTAATGGGGCTGAAAATGACTAAATCCAGGTATCTTGCACCGGAGTATTTGGATGGTGGAAGGATTACACCGAAAGTTGATGTTTATGCATTTGGAGTGGTACTACTAGAGTTAACGACAGGTCAAAGAATCAGTGACTTGCAATTTTACAAGGGACAGAATTTCTTATCTGACTGGTTCCACCCTCTAGCTGCATTAGACTCAAACCAAATAATGGCCAATATTTATCGGTTACTTGATCCATGTTTGGCCTCCAGCAAAATCCAGGACTACACTCATCAACTACAGGCCATGGGTCGTGCTGCTTTCCTGTGCCTAAGTCCTGATCCGGAATCAAGACCCCCAATGTCAAAGGTCATTTCATAATCCTTTCTTTCCTCTATTCTTTCCTGACCTTGGAATGGAAATTAAGAAATTTCGACGTCATTTGCCAATTGTTAGGTCCTTAGAATGCTTGAAGGAGGAGATGTGAGCATTCCTCTGAGTTTAGACCTGAACTCCATTGGCAACAGAAGCGGCCATTTGTGTGGATTGAAGACTCAAACGCAACCTGAATCTAGGAGACGCCACTCTCGAAAGCTTTCACATTGAATTGATTCTACAGACAACAAGGGCTGATGCTTGTATAGCTGATTCACCTGATTCTTTTTTCCTTTTTGATGCAACTTGAAGATACTTTGCCCTTAAAAGATTTGCATGTTAGTAATATGAGTTCATTCGTTGCTCACATTTGTGATATCAAAGAATATATCAAGATTTTGTACTATTACTGGAAAATTAATAAGATAGGGACCTTTATCGATTGTTCTTTAATTGAATTTTGACCAAGTCACATTACTCTTCTTCTTTCTGTGTCCCTGTCAACATAGTTAAGTAACAAATGACAAGTGAGAAAGAACAAAGAAGACAGGGTTTCCTTGCCTCTTAGGCAAAACACTAGTGGTTAGTAGAGGCAGAGTTCCAAGAGGAATATTGCTCTCGATGCTCCATTATAGTACTGATCTTTCCATCAGATAATGAAACTTGAAAGCGATACTACTCTGTGATTGAAGTGCAAAATGAACCACACGAATAACAAATAGTACATGAAGGAGGAGAACCCTTCAGGAAGAATCAAAAGGTAACTGATTTTGGCTAGGACACTGCTCTCAAATGAACTTGTAAACGGTAACTCAAAGTGGGTATATCTCCATAAACAATAGAGGAATATCCTATGTTTATGCGTCTCCATGTAGTTGGATGATCATTACACAATCTTCCCTGAACATTTGACAGACAAAAGATCAAAGAAAAGAAATATTTATTTAAGAAAGCATACCTTAATTTGTCTCCATTTCATTAGTAGCCAATCATCAAGTCCACAAAAAGCATTACATAATATATACCCATTGAAAAAATTCCAGTTGATCCTTTCACCCTCTCTGATAAGCAAATCCCAATAGGCAACATACACTATACTACAAAACCCTCAATTCCACGTGTCAAGCACAACAGATTTTCATTATAAATCATGTACACGTGGCATGATAAGGTTACATCAGAATCTCTAAAATGCAAACATACGAAATTCCTTGGCATCAGTACCTCCTATTCTGGCTGGCTCTGCTGGCAGACGACAAGCTCCCATCAGATGGGAAGGACCCCGCATCATAACTCTCCATCTGCTGATTCTGTTGCGCAGCTCCGATTTGGGCAAACTCCGAAACGCTCCATACCTTCACGGACTTATCAAGGCTCCCACTGTAAACAATCCACCGCTGCTCATTCCCCGATTCCTGATCTTTTTCCACAGCCAAGCACTTCACCGGCCCGGTGTGCCCTGTCAGCACCGAGAGGCATGTGTGGATGTTGCCGTCCCTCCGCCAAACACATATAGTCTTATCGGCTGATCCGCTAAACACCAAATTCCCTGCAGCAGAAAGGCAAAGAACCGCCAGCTTGTGCCCTTTAAGTACCCCGCCGTGAGATAATTGCTTTTCAAGTTCCCAGAAGTTGACCAGACCGTCGCTGGAGCCACAGTACACTACCGAACCAGGGGTGTTGATTGCTAAGGCAGTAACCGCACATTCTTGTTGTAAAAGAGTTTGAGACAATGTATGCTTTGTTCCTTTCCGGTGCAGTTCCATTTGCCACACTTTAACGCTTCCATCGGCTGAGCCAGTAAAAACCATTCCTGCCTTGCTCGAAACGACAGAATTGACAGCGTCGTCATGTGCATGAATGGATCAAGACATTTGGAATCAGAAATTCTCCAAACTTTCAAGGTTCTGTCCCACGAAGCAGAGTAAAGAAGACCTTGATCCACGTTCAAGCTCAAACAAGACACCGCATCCGAGTGTTTGATCCATAAAGAGCGCTTACGCTTCACTTCCACGTAATTGCTCGGTTTAATGGAACTTTTAAGGATATCTTTGAGAGTTGGCAAAGTTCCCGCTCGTTTGTGAACGCTGGGGTTCTTAGGAGAGACTTTCCAAACACGAATCTTCCCATCTTGATGACCAGTAAAAATCTTTTCACCGGATATCACAATGGCCTTAACCAAACCGCTGTTTGATTTGAAGCCGGTGAATTCTTTGAGATTCTTCCACACACGAATGTTCTTGCTATCAGAGCCAGTGTAAAGTAAATCCTTTGTGGCCGCTAAGGAATAAATATGGCCTTCTTCACGTATAAGCGAGCCGATGAGACTGTTCGCTGGAACGTTGTCATCTTCGAAAGGGTCCATGGAGATTTGCTGAAAGGAGACGTTGGTTCCATGGTGACATGGTCAAGGGTGAGCCATCGCCGCTCATCCTATTCGGTCATAAAAGGCAGGGCTGGCAGCGGATGCGCTGCTGTAACGAAGGCACAAATCATCATCGCTCGCAGGAGCAGTAACGGAAAGGTTAGGATCCGAATGCATAATGTTGCCAAACTTGGCTCTTGGAATGCTATCAGCCTCTGCGAACATTGTGCCCCCTCCTGCGTCTCTCATTCCACTCCCCAAACAAAAACAATATAGTATCAAACTACCCAACACCCAAAAAACCAAAGCAAGTTCTAATTATAGAAATATAACGAAAGAGAAGATGGACAGGAGAGATTTCAGGGGTTGAGAGCATATGAAAGCCTGGTTCCCTTTGCATGCATACATATTGCAATTATAGAAGTGGGGAGAGGAACACTGGAGGAGATTTGGCGCTATCAGATTTCGACAAGTGTGCGGACCAAATGCATTATTGCGTATAGAAATGGGCTCACGGGTCCAGGGAATCCGGGGTCCATTGCCTAATTTTACCTTGGGTGGTGGTTTTATTAGTTACAAGCTCGGTATTTGCCATTTGTACGGTGGCTGCTTTAATTTCTATTTTAATACCGTGACCTCTGTAAAATCAATTCCACAAATCATATTGCAGAGCAAGGCAGGCTACCATCCAATCATGCAGTGCCAGGTTTCGGGTTCTATGGGGTCTATAATTTCTTAAACTTGTGTTTAGTTTAAGAAATCTGCTTAGAGAAACAATGGCTTGGGATACGGTTTGCTCGAAATGAAAGTTTCTGAGTACGAGACCATGGAAAAATTATTGGAGCACTTTGCCACTTTCTGCTGTTCATTTCCCTTCTTTCGGCTACCAGCCTATGACAATGGCATCAATCATTAGACGGGGAGAAGTAAAGTTTTGTGAGGTTAAAACAAGAGTGACAATGTGGAGGGGGTAAATAAGGAAATGCAATAATTTACAATGATTCCGAAGTTCCATCTTTGGCTACCTTCAAAAGGATATGTAAAATGCAAGCACTGTATGTCTTATGAAAATTCAGCTCCTCGCCCTCCACCACAAAAAATAAGTAGTTTAAAATATATATATATATATATATATACACACGTATAGAATACAGGGTTTGCTAGTTGTTCATTTGGCAGATTAGATAGTAGAGTGTGATGGGTGCATTCCAGCGTTTCATAGTTTTTAGCTACTGTCTGTTAACCCTGCACAAAATCCAGGCAAAAAATTGCTAAAAAGTGTGAAGAAATGTGTAAACGTAGAAGAATTTGGTCCCAGTCCTGATAGGGTATTAACGCCACCCACAGATATTGTGTTCATAAACAACATCCGAGGTAGGGAACCTCTTTGCCCCAGGGCGCTATGCCACGCCTTTGAAATTTAGAGAAAATGACTATCAATCAATCGAATCAGCCTTCTCGGGTGCACAGTTCTGACCCGCGATTGAATCCTATGCCCTACCTCTCGTTAACAGAGTAAAATGATTGCTCGCTGTAAAGTCCTTCGTACCTACATAGATTAAACTGTTACAGCTTTTGCCTGAAATGACTGAGGCAAGCAAAAAAAGGACAGAAGCTATTAAAAAAATGACCAGAACATGAAAACCACCACTTGTTTGTTGACAGGTGTGACGCAATTCCCAGACTAACGTGCAACCGCCACGTACATAGGACAGAAGCGCGGCTGTTTCCATGTCTCTTTGATAGAACGTTGACAACATCACCTGGTAGGCTGGTACCCTTCAACTCTGCACCCTATAGGCTAGGGACCAATCAACCAGCCACTGTTCTATGGCCACTTGTCCCGCACTACGTAAAACAGCTTGGGAAGTTGGCAGTGTTACTGGTTCAGAGCCAAACTACTTGGCTGGTGACCGTTGTCTCACCATACCAGTTGCTAATTTTGGAAAGAGTGAGGCAAGCAATCATCCTATTTCGTTGCAAAATTGACATGTTATTTATTGGGGTGTTGTCCCCAAATAAAAAATCAGGATCCCGCCTGAGTATTGATTAATAGAATCCATAGTTCAAGAGTGCAGAGTAAACAGTGCAGACCACCATGCTGCAATGTTATAGCTTATTACGTGTTGTTGATATTTAGTGCTTTGTCAAATTGCCTTCCCCAACACGTCCAGTTACAGAGAATCTGATCCGATTTAATGGATATCAAATCCCGAAAGGCCAGAACACTTGTTATTGCATTGATGTTTATTGGTTAAGTCACCTGGCTAGACACCCGCAAGGAGACAATGACTGGGGTTTTTGGCTTGGTGTATCACAAGTGGGAAACCCCAACCCCATCAAACATGAATTCCCACTTTAGAGCTAATCAGGAATGAGTAGTATAATTGTAAGTTTTTGCCACTTAGAATTGAAAATGACGACTTGTGAACTCTTTGCTTTAAAATGACCATGGTAATAAAAGGGCTACCATTGGATTTATTTGTAATTAAGCATTACTACCTGATAAAACAAAAACCTCTTGCCTCTGATACAAAGATTAGGCTGTCTTTTCCGTATAGCTGCTAAACCTAATACATGATCCCAAGCAAAAGGTCCTTTTCTCACGTTTGAATGAAAGACTAAATAGAAGCAATAGACAAAAGCAAGATGTTTTGCCTTATTTATCCTAGACAAGAAAAAACAAATGAGTATTACTCCATTGCCCATTAAGGTAATGACCATTCATCATCAAATTGATATGACAATTACCATCAGGAGAGGAGGAAAGAACAAAATATAGGAGCAATTACTTGTTACTTTTCAGGCTTTAGTAGAATCCTGGAAGCAGCAAACGTTCTGCCTAACTGAACCGAAACGGAACAATATTAGTCGATCCAAAACTTTGCTTGACACTGAATTTGACTGCAGCTGAATTTAGAAGGACTTGTCAGTGCTAGAGGCTTGCAAGGAACATACATATAAAGGAATTGGAATGAAAGAGGAGGATAAAACATTCAGTTTGTGGTGAATCCGGAAGTAACACTTTGACAAGTGCATAGATATATACTTTAGCAATTCCGATGGCAATACACATGGAGCTATTGGGCCTTGGTTGATGAATTGCAATGTCTATTTGCAAAAGAGCTCCTGCTTTTGGGCCAAGCCTGTCCAAACTTCCCACTGCCCTTGCCTTTCAGAAACCCAATGCCTGCCTTCGGGCCAACTAATTTCAAATCGAATTGTTCTTTAAATAACAGCATAATCAAGGCTTTATTGTTGGAATCCGATTCTTTACATATGAGCTTCGTTATGGATTTAAATAATCGTGAGAAACGTATGGAAATGAGAAAGATGATTCACCACCAAGGAAGAAAAGGAGAATAAAAGAGCCATGCATGGAGCACATGGGATGATTCCCGGAAAACCCAACCAAATCCAAAGTGGAGCTCATGTAAACAAGACATGGCGGAAACAAAGATTTCTGGTAAATTACTATTTTCAACAAGGAGTCTGGAACCGACCACCTAAAAAAACTATAGATTCTGCTATCTGATTGCGAAACACTTCTCGAGGGCATCTCGAACCCACCAAAACCGACCAAATTAATCCCCTTCATAACGCTCTCTCCCCTATAAATACTCTTCTTCCCCAACTCACTTGCTCTTCACACTCGTTTCTCTACTAGATACTCCTGCTAAATTCCCCACAATTCAAAAATGTCTCTTTCTAAACCTGAGAAGAACATCATCATCAAGGACGGCGACGACCACAACAACTGCGCTGAAGATCAAGAAGAGCAAGAGAACATGGATTATGTAACCAGCCATCTCTACATGAAGCCAAGTCATTCCAAGCAAACCCTGGACAAGGAAGTGGTTTTGCGGAGAATCCGTCACCGTAAGCGTATGAACAACGTCAAATCCGTACTGCAATCTTTCCTTGGGTCGTCGTTGCAGGCCAAAACCGATAACAAAGCTTCGGTCCCTGGATTAAAGTGGGTCGATGATGCTTTTGCTGCTCTTTAATTGTAGTTGTGTACAGGTTTAATCTGTCTGGCATATGAATCAATAACTTGTACAGTTATCTATGTCAGTGAAAGCAGAAGCACTAGCAAGCCTTCTATTGTTCAGATTGATGTATCAAAGATTTGTCTGGAGAATGTAACATACTGTACTATTTTTCTTGCAAAACGAAATTTTTGCTTGGAAATCTGCTTGCACGTTGATGCAGAACATGGACCTTCATGCCTAATTTTGGGCTCCTTAAGGCCCACTTTCGAAGAACTATCACCTTTTAATCCTTCAACAATGTAGTATTACCAACATAAGGATATGATTGAACTTTTGGGAAGGGATCATCTTTTAATGCAAGGGGTTGAAAATCTTGGGCTAGGTATGGTATCTTATGCTGGAAATTTTTTTGACTTTATCATCATGAGATTCCCAGCTTTTACATGAAACATTTAATCCAACTACATAATTTATTATAAGCAGTCTTATCTCTGGTTTCCAACCACTTCCCATTTAGTTTATGTTCATAGACGTTGACAGATCAAAGACGAAGACATCAGCAAGACGTTGGACTTTGGTGGAATATAAGTAAGAGTTTGTATATTATTATTTTTGTCGGAATTTTTTAGGATGGATTTGTGTCCAGTTCCATGGCATCGCTTGTTCAGTATTTCATATTTGGAAGCAACAAGATCGTTGCGATTAAAGATGATATCTGCCAAGATCCAGAGTGCATTCACACCTAAAACCTGATTTTAAGCTGAGATTATGGTCCACCAGGCTACATGATAGACCCATGAATGATTTGACTGCAATGATTTGACTGCAATTGATTTCTATATGGTTCATGAACGAACAAAAAGAAGGGAAAAAAAACTAGAAGAAAAGGGGAAGAGATTGACCATGTTGATTTTGTCACCATAAAACTGCTATTTTAACCTGCTCTCCAGATGGACGAGTTTTTCATTGCCTATCGAATCTTGTCTTAAAGAGGAACAAGATTGTACCCTTCAGTTTTTTACTTCTATGCTGTCAAAACCCAAATTAGACATTGCATTTCAGATTCAGAGCGCAGTTTTAGTTCTAACAGCACCAGCCTCCAGTTAGCTAGCTCTAAGCAGAATGGTAAAGCAACCTTTATGAGTTTATTACTGTCTCAAATCTCTTTTTCTTTTTGTTTTCCTTTTTGGGGTCAATGTCACATATCAGTATCACTTTGCTTTCCTGTCTTCTTGCTCGAAGTTCATTTGCCTATGTTCGCCACTTCACCTCAAGAATTGGAACAAAAGCTTTTCTAATGTTTACAGCATACCCTCACTTTTTGTGCGTGATTGGGAGGACCACCCAAGATTTCAGGCTTGAAATGTAGACAATGCAAATCTATAATGATTAAATAAGATCTAGGGGTATTAATTAATGACAATTTGGAGAATAAAGATCAATCTGGGAGAGCCAAAGGAAAACAAAGTTTTCTTCAACGACAACGTTTATTGTCATTACTTGATTTCAAAGATCCAATGCAAGGCAGCTAGAATAAAAGAAATGAAAGCAGAGCCGAACACGGCTTAAATTGCAATCGTTATATTGTCTTTATCTCTTGACTCTCTTCCGCGCTTTCATGCTTGTGACCCACAGCATCGTTTCTAGCTATGGCTTGCTGTCAGAAGCAACAGAAACCATAGCTTACATTCAGCTTATTCAGCATATTTTAACTCTAGAAGATTAAAGTAAATAAGCAGGCCATGATAGATTGCTTTGCCGTGTATGGTACTGCAAACTGGGGTGCCCAGGGGGTATTCATTCTTTCTCATGATCACGGGTTATTTCTTCTTATCATTCAATGGGGATGGTCCCCACACAACAAACCAACCCTAATGACTAAAAGCTCATAGTACTGGTTGACAATGGGGAAATGATGATGATTCAGAATTTTGACTTTTTGGAGAGGGATTAGTCATTTCTCCCCAACTGCAAGATAACCAGAAAAATGTTCATTTGCTTGTGTGTGGAAAAAAAAATCAAAAGAGAAGTAAAACCATAGCAGCCAATGGTAGTAAATCCTATTTAGTCAGTTAAAAATATAGTTTACCCATAATTGAGAAGGGAAGAAAACCCTCTGGCACTTTTACTTTATTGTTGAGTATGTATGCATGCCAGTGGCAAGGTGTGAATATCTAGCACTACTATTGCACCTTTTCTGTCCCTTAAATCTTACTAGTTTGCAATTAACATGTCAGGATTTAACCTCAGAGTGACGTTTGGTATCAGGGATGTAAGCCACATTCTCTGCAATGTGGCTTATTAAATTACATTACAGTGTTTGTTTTGTAACAGATGACTGCAATGTAAGATTGTAATGCAATCACATTGCAGCCAATGGATGTAATGTGATTGCAGTCCAAAACCAATGCAATCACATTATATTGCACTCTGCAATGTTCTTAAAGACAATTTTACCCTTCAACTTTATTATCTTATTAAAAATATTTTATAATATTATAATTAAAATAAATATATAATATAAGAATAAAATTAAATAAAAAAATATAAAAATTAATATTTATAAATATAGATAAAACAAATTAAAATAAAATATATAATATAAAAATATATTAAAGAAATGAAAATAAAATATATAAAATTATAATAATAAATAAAAATAAAATATATGACATTAAAATATATTTAAAATATGATATTATATAAAATTTAATAATATAAATATAAATATATTAAAAATAAATATATAAATATTATAATAATAAATAAAAATAAATATATGACATTAAAAATATATTTAAAATATGATATTATATAAAAATTATAATATAAATATAAATATATTAAAAATAAAATATAAAAATATTATAATAATAAATAAAAATAAATATATGATATTAAAAATATATTTAAGAAAGGATATTATATAAAAATTAATAATAAAATATAATATATTAAAAATAAAATATAAAATATTATAAATAAATAAAAATAAATATATGATATTAAAAATATATTTAAGAAATGATATTATATAAAAATTAATAATAAAAAATATAAATATATTAAACTTATATTTTAATAATTATGGGTCATTTTTACAATTAACATTACATTCCCAGTACTTACTAAAGTACTTGTAAACCAAACACTGCAATGTTATATTTCTTGCATTTTAATCATTATTTTACTTACATACCAAACACTGTAATGTTATTTTCCCTGTAATCACATTGCTTGCAATCACATTACTTACAATCACATTACCTGTAATCACATTACATTGTAATGTACCAAACGCCACCTAGTAGTTTCAAGGTTACCAATTGGATCATGTATTGACCAGTTTTATTGAAACTATTTTTTTTAATCTTTTGAATGGTTTTTCACTCAAATAGATGCCAAATTGGCAGTAAACCAACCGCCAAGGAGAGAAATTTCTCAGGCAAGCATCTTTGGCCTGCTGCCAAGTTAACTTTCAAAGCATGCTTTGGTCAGTTGATGGAAACGTTGAATTAAAAAAAGTTGGGTTTATCCAATGGATATCAGGACAATAAGAGGAGAGTAGTGTGAAAACAAGGAAAAGATAAAAAGAGATTTGTAGATGATTTCTCACTCTACACAATGATGAACCCCATTTCCATAGTTTTATCCTTTTTCTCAACATCTATTGTGTTGAGTCAATATCAAAACCCCAAGATGGTTGCTAGTGTTTCTTTTGCTGTCAGTGTGACTGCTTTTCACTGCTGACAAAAATCACACCAAATTTCTAACTACATAAGTTCCTAGTATTAAACCAAGTTTTTTATTGCAGGAAGGAACAAGAGCAGGACACCTGAGAAAGAAGAGAGAATTTCCTTTCTTTTTCCAAGAAAACTCTGTTCAAGGCTTCAAGCGCCAACGACTAGGGAATGATCTCGGCAAGCAGAGAATTCCAACTTCTTTGATCAATCCACCCTTGACATCTAATGGTCCTGAAGAGACTCCCAGTCCATCACTCTTAAACAAGCATTCCTTCTTTTGCTTTTACAAGTTTCTATCTGCAAAACATGAAAGAGCCCGTTGTTTTGTTCTTAGCAATCTTTCTGCTTTCCTTAATCACGGCTCAAGCATCCAAGTGCAACCGGTCATGTGGCGGCCAGACTGTTCCTTATCCATTTGGATTCTCTGCCGGCTGCCAAATCCCTCTAAACTGCAGCTCAAGTAGCCAGAAGCTTGTCGCCGGTTTTCCAATCCTGACCATAAACGCTGATCGCATAAAAATCAGCATTGAAGCCACTTGCAACCGTCCACTCCGAGCCCTTCACCGCCTTTATGGCCCCAATTATGCACCAACATCTCGGAACGCAATTCTGTTGCAAAACTGCAGCTCGCCAGCGCCATGCATGATACCATCAACAATGGTTTACACTCATTTCGAGGCCCTTGCTTGCTCTCCTAACAGCAGCAATATAAGTTGCTATTCAGAAAACAATGCTAACGGTTTCGCTGATTACAACAAGGTGACTCGAACCAACTGCAAGTCATTTTTATCGTCCATATCAGCAGAATCTTTCAATGAATCAGCAGTCCTGGAGGTCCGGGTGGTTGAGCTAGGGTGGTGGCTTCAAGGACGGTGCTCTGACTTCTGTTCTGAAAATGCAATTTGTGATGAAATTGTTTCACCGTTTAGTGGAAAGCCAGGATTCCGTTGCAAATGCAAACATGGGTTCACAGGCGATGGATATCGTGCTGGCGATGGTTGCCGGAAAGGTCAGTTCTCCTTTACCGAAGTCCTTTGAAATCTTACTGTAAATTACTCAAGTTAATTCATTAAAATTCATTTATTTTGATGCTGAATTCAAACTATGCAATCAACACATAACTTTACTAATATGCCAAGATAAAGGTCTTTGGAAACAAAATAAGCATGATTAAATTATATATTTCCAGCAGTTGCCCTGACTTTATTGCAAAATGAAGCATTGAATAAGAAAATTTTGGCCGAAAAGCAATATATGATATACTATAAGAAGAGTTTTGTCCCCAATTTTGTTTTATTAGTCAGTAGAAGGAGATTTCCATGAAGAATTAGTGGTGGTAGACCATTCTCAACATAGCAGACTGAAAGGACTCATCCTGCAATTATAGTTCAATGCAATTTCTTTGCAGGGCAGCAAAGAGTGCCTTGCTGCACTGTTAAATGATCACAAACATCCTGATTTGCTGGCCAAAAAAGTAGTATTGTTGGTGACCCCAGCAGTAACAGGGGAAAAAAGGTAAATTCTGGCACTTAAAAACTTGCTCTATTTTATGGGGGCCAGTCATCATTTTGTTGAGGGGCTAGTCAAACCTCACCATTCAACAGAAAAGGGACCAAAGTTTTTCCTTCATCATTTAGCAAGTTGATGAAGGATGATCCTTGCAATCTTTCTCTTTGTCCCGGTGTAATCAACAAGATGTGTTACTAAGAGGTTATCATTCACTCAAATGGGTAGTTTCACCTACCGCAATTGGGGGACCCCCTGTTAATTTTTTAGTTGCAGCAAATCCGACTGCATTGGTTTATCGCGGAAGAAAGAACTACCTGATCGGGGAACTCTAGAATCAACAATTAAAATATATAATATTGAGACAAAAAAAACTATTTTATTGTGTTATACATAATTCATATACAAACAAGGAGAAAGATAGAGAAAGCAACGGCCTTGGAATCCAATGGTATTAGGTGGCTCCTGGCTTCTGCTGGTGCCAAGCTGAGAGTTTATACCTTTTCTGACGCAAGGAAGTGATTAAGCATGATACCCCATAGAGGTTTCTACATCTAATATTTGACTAAGCAAAATTGTCAAATATAGAGCAGTTCGATCAGATGGATTAGCATAATAGCAATTAATTTAGAACTTAAGCATAATTGCTGATGATTTGTTGAACAAGGCTGCTTTAATTTGCTTCACCTAGTAAAATAGTCCTGCTAATGTTAAGGGTCAATAGAGGTTTGTCCTCAAGGACCAGACACATCCCAGGAATTTCCTAATGAAGATGCTCCTGAAAGTTTTCTTTAAAATCAGAATGTCATTGTCTGATTAAACTTATGTAAAAACTGCAACCTCTTTCTGTCTTACAATTTGTTTTCATGTGTTTGTTGCCATGTACAACCGAACAGCACCTTCAGATTGCAACCTTGCAGGATACATTTCTGGCAAATGTGGAGGAACGACTAGGGTCGCTGTTTTGGTTGGAGGTAATGATCAATTAACATCAAACATCCTACTATAGGTTTCTTTGGGTATAGCTAATAAAAAACGTATTCACAAGGCTCTTGTTTGAGGTAATGGCCTTGCCCTTGTATCATGG